AAAAAAAAAGAAAATTAGAAATCGAGACTAAAATGACCCACTTAATTTTGTTTTATATTTAATACGGAGCAAGAGAAATAAAAACATTTACAATGTAGATTTGCACTAAATTCAATTTCGACTTATGATCATGAACTGTGAAGTATTTTATGAATGTAAAAAATATTTGTAACTTACACGTTGAATAAGTGATCGAAAGAGTAAAACACTCATGCGAGATGTTTGTCGTTTCGTAGCAATTGTCCAACAGAAATATCCGGGAAAACAACATAGAAATTGAAGAATACTTAAACCTACATTGACACAGAGAAATAAAAAATCGTTTGTTTTTTTTAAATTTAAATCATCCTATTCATTAGACTTACCGAAGAACCAATAAACTAGATGCATAACATTTTCTCGAAATAAAGGTGTTAATGGAGATAATATGGATGACATAGTTTTATTATCATAATGGCATAGTCTACAAAGAAAAAGTTTAACAATATTTAAAAATAGTTTTTTTAGTAAATTACTTATGTAGTCGATCATAGTTTAATGGATTAAGATCAATACCAAAAGGACATACACTATTATTAATAATTGTAGATACTGAATTTTCATATTGATTATGACAATCAACAGCAAACGTTGTAGTGGCAAATAATCCCGTGATTTGACCAAAAAGAATTACATTCACAATAATTAAAACTCCATGCAATAATATGAAACACAGACCAAGAATTAAAAGAAGAGTATCAATACGATCAGCAAATCGAAACTATTATCAGATGAAATGAATATATTAAAAATAAGAAGAACATGCTTTCAACTTAGTATATATTATATTTGAATATACTTACCAATTGAAAAACACTGACTGGAATATCTTTATTCGTATGATTGACCTCATCATTTAACTTTTTATTCCTAGCATCAGTCTTTTGCTGATTGAAATATCGACGCCACTCAGAAAAACTAAAAATATTGATACATTCATAATGTGTTTATCAATATTATATTTTTTCAAAAAATTATACCTTTTATTTTCATTGTCACTGTCATTGTCAATAAGTAATTTGTTATGTTTCTTTAATAATGGCTCTTTATCGCTCATATTCTTCTTTTTCTTTTCAAATATAAACTATTATGAAGCGTAACGCTCACTATGAGTTTTATATGTATTGCTACGAAGAGTAATTGAATATTATTTGCTTCACTGATTTTGCGTTCTTCTTCCATTTGATCTATTTCCTTCATATTATCAAAAACCGTGGGCAACACTATGTTAAAGGCAAAGATTTTAGATATTTTTTCGTAGGTGTAATTATAACTAATATTTTTTTCCTACGTATCGCGAAGGAGCAATCAGGTATCATTAAAGACTCAGGGACAGTAAATTCAATAATTGGTATAGACAAAAATAAATTGTCAATTGCTTTCAATTTCTATAGAATCATGAAACTTTAAGTTAGAGTTTTATTAACGGTAAAAAAACAATAAAATAAATTAAAGAAGTATGAGAAGTCAAAATCATCAATTGAGTTCTACAATAAAATTCATATATATTTATTTCTAAGAGATACAATTTTATTTTAAGATGATCATTTATTTTCAAATAGTTACATAATATCAATAAGATTTTCTATAAGACTAGATATAATATAATTTTTATTTTCCATACTTTTCCTTTACTTATTTATTGAGCAAAAACTAAGATTTCTACTATGATTCATGTTAAATAAATGCAATTATAGATTGGTTATAACACATAAATCTTTGAAATAACGAATTTGTTAAACATATTACAAAAAAACATATCATATTAGATATTTTTAAATGAATCAATGAATGAATTAGAAAAGAATAATAAGAAAATAATGATTTCATATTTGTTTGACACTTGATTTAGTTCTTTTGATTTTTCTATTAAAAGTAAATGGGAAAGATGAATGAAAAACATCGATTATTTCGTGGCTATTTTCCGAAATTTTCTTTACATAAAAAAAATATAGAAAATATCTCAATCGATGTTTTCATTCATTCGTATAAATTTAAAATAACTCGAGATAAATGCTTATTGAAGTATATGTATATGTGTCTAGAGCTTGTCCAGCTAACGACGGACCAGCGTGACCAAAATTCAGTAGGGGATTTCTTGAACATACGACGACCGAACTTGCTTATTCAAAAATTTCTTAGAGGTTTTCATAGATAATCTATCGATAAATGTCATTTGTTTTGGAAAATGATGAGAAGAAATGGTAGTTGCCAGCCAAAATCATGCATTTTTTGAACAAAAACGATGAAAAAAGGGCATTGATGACTGTTATTTTATTTCGCATACTACTTAATCATTTACGATAACGGGAATAATAGTGATATTATCGACGATTCAGCTACGGGTTGAAATCGATTGATCACCTTTTATGAGTGCGTTATCCTAATGTTTTGATGACAACTATTTCTAAAAATAGATTTCGAAAAAACAAATCCCACTATTGTCAGGTCTGATGTCTTAGCTTCAAACACAGATGATAGCATTTTTTTTTGTAGTGACAAATTTTTTAAAAATGTGAATGGTTTTGTATGGCTCCGGTGGAAAGGGTCCTTTTGAATGAGTGCGTTACCACGACTTTCCGAACCCCTAAAACTGTGATGGTGCAATCAAATGCAGTGAAATTTTTAGCAAATATAGGGCATCTAACTATCTCGTGAAGCTATAAATTTCAGCTCTCGAGTTACAACTATCAAAAGGTGAAAGAAGGTTGAGTGAGTTACCTGTGTACATGCTCTACATTTATCATTTTTTCTTATTTGATGTTTTACTCTTATTACATAGACCATGTGATACTTGATCTTCATTTTATTTCGTTTTTTTCGGATGGATGAATATCTGTGTATGCTTTTTATGAAATCGATGCGATTCTTGATAATGAGAAATATAATAAAGTGCAATATCATCAACACAAACACTTCTATTAGAAATCGTTACAATAATATATTGTTTTTAGTTGTCTATTTTTGTTAAAAATTCATGAAAAGTGATGTCTTACATGATAATAATTTATACAACAGGTGAAAATCGAATATTTGTTTAAAATGGTATAATTTTCCTCTGACTGATAATCATTATGAAAAAAAATTCCTACGAATTATCATAATGTTAAATACAAGATTTGAAAAAAATTGCCGAAAAATAGTTTTCGTATTGTTTGATAACCGAATAGAATTTTCACATTGAAATTAGTATTTGACAAAAGTTAATTTATTAATTCTTGTATTATCATTTATTTATTTGTACTTATTCTTGAAATCAATGACTAACTATGATATATTACTTCTGAACGTCACGAAATAGAAGTGTAATTCATAAAAAAAAGGATTACATAATCAGTTATTTTTGGGTAAAAATTGATTAATTTTTGTATATCCCACGAAAATATACTATTCTTCCTATTAGTTAGACTTTTGATGGGTAGTTTGATAACAACAAAAATAAAATAATATGCTGTGAGTAAAAATAAAACATTTTCGTGATAAATGTATAAGTATCGAAAGAAACTTTAAAAGAAAAAAAAATGAAGACTCTGCTCGTAGTGGCAATTGATTGAAAAGCGATCGTTTACATTAGTCAGTTTTTTTGTTCTGTTACACTAGCACGTTGTCTATAGGAGATAAAATCTTACTTTCTATTAATAGTTCAATAATGTGACAGAATGAAAAAAAGTGACTAGTATAAGTAAGCAAGCGATTACTTTTTTTCATATTTTTTCAATGAAATTATGTGTAAGAGATACAAATGAAATACATTTACATAGATCTAATATTTATTCATCTTTTATACTGGATTGAAAAAAGAGAATAAATATAATTCAATATTTTAAACTCACGAAGTTAAATTATTTTAAGTTTGAACCTATATGTATATCATCTAAACTATCTCAGTTGAGAGACGCATTCTTCAGAATAAATTCACATATTTAATGTGATCTATTTCTAATTATTAAGATATACTCTGGTATACCGATCAATTCAAAATTCAATGTAAATAAATCATTGAGAAAAGGCAAAAAAATGAGTTAAGAGAACAGAATATATACGTATATATAAAAGTCAACAAAATGTACTAATGACTTATTACTCTAAAAATATATCGTCATGTTCAATTATTGCTTCTATTCAGAAGGTATTTATGATTAATATTTCATCTTATCCTTATTTTCTTTGTAAATAAAACTAGTTGAAGATTTTTTGTATTTAAATAATTACAAACAAGTCTTAACATATCAAATCCAATGAATTTCATAATTATTTAAATACTCCAAACTATAAGATTTCAGCTAGTTAGAATTAAATATAATCATGTATGATAAATGTCAACTGAAAATAATACTTTGTTTAAATTTCCTAAACTTGATGACTTTTTTATTATTGATATACGAATTATTTATATACATCTGCTTTATAAAATGATGATTAATTAATCATAGAAACTTCTACTAAAATATCTATGATGAGTCATCATATAGTACTATTAGATTATTTTAAACAAACATCTCTCATATATTCTTATTAATCATGAATAAATAAATAAGCATTTCACAAATATAATTATGTATCGAGTAATTTTATTATAAATACAAATAAAGATTCAACTAAATAACTTAAACAGATAAAATTCAGCACTTTTATATGATTAAAGCAAAAAAGTGAAAGATTTGTTTAGGTCTTTGCTATAGTTGTAGCACAATATTAATCGAAAATCTAACTATAAAGTAAACAAAATATTTTTGTTAATCTATCATACTACTGCTTGAGAACAATTCTTACATAGAATATAATAATTCTATTCTAGTTGGCTTTTTTTCACAGTGATATAATAATCCTATTTTAATTGAAATTTATAATTGAAGTCAATGTTTTTTTTTCTTTACTCGTCTTTATTTGTAGAAGAACTCAAACCGGAAAACAAAAATTATATTAAAAAAAGATATTTTTCTACCGGGATATAAAAATCATTTGTAGATTATATTTAGAATTAAAATAAATATTTTTTTTTTATTATACTTTGATTATAGTTGAATATCAATACAAATTTCATTTTGAACTAATTATGGTATAATGTGAAATTGTTAAATATTTAATCATGTATCATTTAATAAGAAAATAACAAAAAAAAATATCTGATTGATGTATTAGGAAGATATTCTACAAAGTATTACTTATTATATTCTTTTCTTTCTCGTTATTAATACAAGGACATAAACACTGTCTTTTCTTTATTTGTCTGTATTACTCAAGTATATTTTTTCTTCTTTATTGTTGCTATTTTGTCTATATAATTTATCCTTCGAATCTAATTGTAAAGATAGAAAGTATGTGATAAGATAAAATAATGATCGATGAACATGGGCGGCGCGCCAACAAGCAACGAGTTAGCAATTGCATACCCTAAAAAAAATTTGGGTATGCAATAAATTTTTATTGCATCTCCAAATTTTTTGTAGTTTTTTTGTAGATTAGAGTAAGACTGTCTAATTCAGTATACATATATTTAATACAATCTCGTAGTTAATATACGAGTGTTGATCAATACTCTCTCATGAGGCTATATTTTGTTATTTTGATGGATGTATTCCAGATCGTACATATCCGACACGAAATCATTTACGTAATACATAATCATTTTTTCAATTATTTTTGACGCTCTCCTTTTAGAGCAAAAACTATTCAAAATTTCACGTTAGACTAAGAATACTAACGTAGCCTTAGATTAAGTCTCGTCTTTTAAAATTGATCAGCTGATGATCAAATGATCCTTATCTATTTTCATCGAAAGAATTGAAATTATATTAAATAGTAAATAATTGGTGGTGCATAATGATTAATCTTTTTCTGCTGCTTGTTGTCAATAATATTCAATTTTTCGTTGTTTGTTTTTTGTGAAATTTAATTTATTTTTAATTTATTAGCGTATATTAGAAGTGCAATTGAACAAGAACGATTATCATATTTAGTATTAATAAATATAGAAAAAGATTATCAAATTGATATTGATACCATTGTAACCCATTTTATATCAAAACAACATGAAAGAAAAAAGATATTTTGAAG